CACAAACAGCGAATCCGTCTCTATGGCTCCATGTCGAGCGGAGCTGCTGCCAAGTCAGAGAGAAGAGAGGGAAGGCAGAAACCCCCCTCAAACCCTAAGTAGCAAAAAGAAGAGGGGAGAGAGGGAGGAAGAGACGCCGCTCCCAGCCCGGCCTCTTCGTGCTCTCAGCTTGTTTTTCTGTTTTTCTCTTTTTTTTGGTTTTGTTTTAAATAGAAATATATAATTAAATTTACAAATGCTATTTACAGGTTTAATTACAAAAAAAATAAACGAGAGAGAGACACCCCTTAGACGTTAATGAATCTTAAAAAAAAAAAAAAATCGACCCCCCAAAAAGAAAGCCCCAAGGTCGCTGGGACGGCCCCGCGAGCACCACGTCCGGGCGGCTCACACCGTTGTCTCGCCCTGCTTGCTGTTGGTGAGCCGCGTGTAGAACTTCCTCCACGAGTGCAGCGTTTTGCCCGACCATATCCAGAACCCTGACGTGATGCCCACGATGAGAGTCATGAGATACTTGATCATGTAGACAGTGAAGTCCGGGGTCATACGCGGCGTGAACTGCAGTGGGCAGGGGATGGCCAGGCTCTTGCAGTTCTGGCTGATCCAGCTGCGCTCCCAGTGCTCGCGGAAAGCCTGCTCGTAGAAGTAGCAGGCGATGACAATGGTGGCAGGGACGGTGTAGAGGACACTGAAGACGCCGATGCGCACCATGAGGCGCTCCAGCTTCTCTGTCTTGGTGCCACCGTGCTTCATGATGGTGCGGATGCGGAAGAGGGACACGAAGCCAGCTAGCAGGAAGGAGGTGCCGATGAAGAGGTAGACAAAGAGTGGGGCCAGCACAAAGCCCCGCAGCGGGTCGATGTTGTTAAGGCCCACGAAGCAGACACCGCTTAGCAGGTCCCCATCGATCTGCCCCATGGCCAGGATGGTGATGGTTTTGACGGCTGGCACAGCCCAGGCGGCCAGGTGGAAGTACTGCGAGTTGGCCTCGATGGCCTCGTGACCCCACTTCATGCCAGCAGCCAGGAACCAGGTGAGGGAGAGGATGACCCACCAGATGGAGCTGGCCATGCTGAAGAAGTAGAGCATCATGAAGAGGATGGTGCAGCCCTCCTTCTTGGTGCCCTGCACCACCGTGCGGTACCCATCCTCCTGGAAGCGCTCGTTACAGACCACCCTCTCCTCTAGCACGAAGCCAGCAATGTAGGCCACTGACACCATGGTGTAGCACCCAGAGAGGAAGATGATGGGCCGCTCGGGGTAGCGGAAGCGCTGCATGTCCACCAGGTAGGTGGTGACAGTGAAGAAGGTGGAGGCACAACACAGCACGGACCAGATGAGGATCCAGATGCGGGCGAAACGGATCTCATCCTCGTTGAAGAACATGTGGCCGTCAGGACGGGTGGGCTCGCAGGGTGCTGCACAGTCCTTCTCGCCTAGGAACTTGTAGTTGAGGTAGCTGGGCACCTTGAGTGCCCGCGGGCAGTGGAAGGGGTGGTCCAGGGTGGCGTAACGGGGAGCGCCTGGGGTGCCCTGGCCGGCCAGCGGTGTGGCGCTGGTGAGCAGTGCCGGTGAGCCACCATCCTCAGAGTGGTTCTGCCCCACGCAGATCTGCTCAGCACCGTGCCGGGGGAAGTTCTCGCAGCGAAGCCGCTCAGGCCACTGGAAGCCAAATTTGTTCATGAGGGCCTCACAGCCCTGGCGGGCCCGCTCACAGATGGAGCGGCATGGTGGGATGGCCTGCTCCAGCACTGTGCACACCGGCGCGTACATGGAACAGAGGAAGAACTTGAGCTCCAGCGAGCACTGCACCTTGACCAGTGGGTAGAACTGGTGCACTTCCAGCCCTGCGTCCTCCTGATTGGTGTGGCCCAGTAGGTTGGGCATGATAGTCTGGTTGTAGGCGATGTCGGTGCAGAGTGGGATGGAGATGGGCTGGCAGAAGCCGTGGTCCGGGATGGAGATGCCCTTCTCGCCATGCAGCTGGCCCTGGCTCAGCCCTAGCACGCTGAGTCCCAGCAGCAGCCAGGCCAGCCGGTGCAGGATGCCGGAGGGGCGCCTGGGGCCCGGCTCCCAGTGCCCCGCACTTCCG